CTCCTCCTCCTCCTTCTTCTTTTAAACAATTTGTTAAGGGCAAGCTCGAACCCAAGGAGGTGGCTCCTCCTCCTCCTTCTTCTTTTAAACAATTTGTTAAGGGCAAGCTCGAACCCAAGGAGGTGGAGGAGTGCACCATAATAGGACAAGATATCACTTAGTTTGAAGGAACTAGTGCTAGCATTACCCTTTTTTATTACTTTAACTAACAAAAATTTACATATCCTCCTCCTCCTCCTCCTCCTTCTTCTTTTAAACAATTTGTTAAGGGCAAGCTCGAACCCAAGGAGGTGGAGGAGTGCACCATAATATGACAAGATATCACTTAGTTTGAAGGACCTCCTCCTCCTCCTCCTCCTTCTTCTTCTTTTAAACAATTTGTTAAGGGCAAGCTTGAACCCAAGGAGGTGGAGGAGTGCACCATAATATGACAAGATATCACTTAGTTTGAAGGACCTCCTCCTCCTCCTCCTCCTCCTCTTCCTCCTCCTTCTTTTAAACAATTTGTTAAGGGCAAGCTCGAACCCAAGGAGGTGGAGGAGTGCACCATAATATGACAAGATATCACTTAGTTTGAAGGACCTAGTGCTAGCATTACCCTTTTTTATTACTTTAACTAACAAAAATTTACATATGTACTTACGTGATACACTATGACTACATAATGTCTTATGAATGTCATGTGAACAAAAAAGGAAAAAACGCTAGTCATTATTATTAACACTAAATTTTAAATTAAAACAATGTGAGAGTTTTCCCTTTTGTCCACATGGTACTTACCCAGCAGATTATGTGGCGCAAAATAAGCATTGATGTGGATTTCTGTTGGTCAAACTAATGAATTGACTAAAGAAAAAGTTATGAGTAGACTATCATTGATAAAATTTTTAAAATTACTAAACAATTAGGATAGAAGATAAATGTTTTAAAATTAAAGTGATAGAAGGTTAATAATTAATAAATAAATATTACTTTTAGCACTTTCTTAAGTTTTAGAACTCATAAGTGAAGAATTTATTACTCGATTTTGGTCTTGTAATATAGAGCATAAGGCAGTTTAATCTTTAAATTCTTTATGTATCAGTTTTTTCACAAATTAAGGTTGTGTTTGATTTGATTACCTCTTTATTGTGAAAATGCCATGAAAATTGCATATTGGAAGTGTGACGCCCTAATCCTAAGTTAAGAGGAAATGCATAAGTGGTACACAAGTTTTAAATACTACTAATAGGATTAAATGTCGAATTTAGTGCCTAATCTTTCAATTTTAAACACATTTCATCTCTCAACTCTTTTTTACACTTTTTTCTCTTGACTTTTTCTTTTTATAGTTTTTTTTGTTCCTAACTATTAATAGGGCCCACCTACTACAATGATATTAATTAATAAATAAATTATAAATCAAATCAATTAACTTACCGTTTAACTTTAATCTATCTAAAAAAACATTAATCAATTATAATTACTTATTTACATTTAATTAATCAAAATTAATGTTGCACTTAAATTAACAAATTTCACAACAATCAAACAAGATAATCAAGTGGAAATGTGGCACTTGACCAAGAAGGTCAATTCATTATAAACCTTTATAAAAAATACACTCATAGCTTTAAATGTTGGGTTCAAATCTTTCTTCCCCGAATTTGAAATGCAGGTGACAATAACCCTCATGGCCACTTGAAATCACTTTTGGATTCAAATCCAAATCTAAGGAAACACTAGAGAATAAATACAGACTAAAAGCAACCAAACTCAAAGACCTTAATTAAACCAAGGTAATGCATTTGCACAACAATGCCTTTACCAAAGTCGACTATTACCTCCTCAAACTAGAATCCCCTACACTAGTATCTAGAAAATGAAAAAAATTAGGTTCAAG